CCTCTGTCCTGTGAGGCGGACAGCTCAGCCGAGGCTGTCGCGTTCTCTCGTCCTGGCCACACCTCCGCTCTCTAACCCCACCCCCCTCCCCTACCCACTTTGATGCATTTTTCAAATTTCGCCTTGGGGCGGAGTTATCTTTTCACAGGGGGTAAGATACACTTTAAAGTTGAAATTATCTGAGTAAAGGAGAATCTTTCTGGTATATTATAAATATTTTTGGATTTTATATCAGAAATAAAGAATCTAATAGTATAAATTATGTTAAAATGTTTACTTATATCTAACTCACCCTTTTATTTATTTAAAAGTTGTAATGAACATTACTGGGGGAATCCCAAGGTGTTCCCAGGCCAGCTGAGAAACATAGTCCCTCCAGCGTGTCCTGGGTCTTCCTCTGGGTCTCCTCCCAGTGGGATGTGTCCAGAACACCTCACCAGGGAGGAGTTCAGGAGGCATCCTAACCAGATGAACCACCTCAACCCAAGAGAAACCCAAACCATCAACTAAGAAGGAGAATGTACTCACCACACCCAAGAAAAGGATGTACTGGTATGGATACGACATTGAGGACCCTGTGGAACCAGCAGACTATCGTTTGGAGTTATGCACAAAGCTACAGCATTGTTCGGCGTGGTGTAAAGAACATAAAGAACAAGGGTGGAAAGAGAGAATCATGAGCAAATACCCTGATAATGAATATTTTTATGTCTGGGAGGGAAAAAATTGAATTACTGGGGTTGGGATTTTAGAAAAGTACGTTTACTTAGGTTTGTGTTGACATGTTTGTTTGTTTGTTGTATTGATCATTTAATGATCAGAAGGGGGAGTGTGATGGAAATAGTATTTTTAGGTTTAAGCCAGTAATTCATGACACACTTTAATGACCTAAGTTTTCATGACATGCTGTTTATCAGTGATTATAACCAGAACAAGATTTGCTAACAACAGTCATTCTTAGATATCACTTGTGTTTATTTTTGTGTTTTCCCTTTACTCAGTATTTCCTTAGGATGAAATCTTGCTTCATTAAGATGACATAATAGTGTTTGTTAAACAGTATACATGAGGCCTCAACTGCATCGGAGAAGCAGGAGCAGAAACAGAGAGCAGGACAGTCTGATGTTGTTCTCTGTGTTTCCTGTTGTTGCAATAAAACTCAGCTGATCATCTCACGGAGTACCTTCATTCTTGGACCACGTATTTCTGTCTTTATTAAATAAATATTTCCATAACACAACCCCAATACATTTCTTCAGGCGCATAGGCACAAACAACAGTAAGGACCCGTCATCTCTTCTGCCATCATCTGTTCGAGTTGATGCAATCCACCATAAAAGTGACAAAAAAGAGACAAAGTTATTTTATTGCAGCGATTAATTTTACATTTAAAATGTTACATTTACATCACATCATGGATCACTTGTTGATTCTCTTACTGGTTAAAGTGAATGATTACTGAACACAAAGTATAAGATAAAAGACTTTATCTAAACTTCAGTTAATTTGTCATAAAATATCTAACAACTATGGAAACACTCTTCTTTTCATCTGACTTCAACACAACATGAATCTATGGTTCCCATAGTCTCTGCCCCTGAAAAACATCAACAGAAACTTCTCTAATATTCACTTCAGAAAGTACACGAAGATAACTTTAACGTGACATAATGTTAAGTGTCGTGTTGTTCTACACAGAAAACATAAAACAATAACAATAAAGCACTGTTTCATTTCTCTCTCAGGTATATTTGAACGTATTTCATGTGTCTGTGCTGACGTGGGCCTCTCTGCTCTCTGTCACTGTAGATCTGATGTATTTAGAGTTTGTGTGCATCTGTGACTCACACACAAACAGGACAGCAGGAGGTGTTTGATGTAATACAACACATATAAGTCCAGTGACGTTCTCCTGGATCTGCCTGAGGACGCAGCAGTCAGGGACAAACGTGAAACCTCTGTGGACCCGCTCTGTAGACATGTTTAAATATGATGTCCACAACTGCATTTAAAAGCACAGAATTCAAAGCATTTGGCTCATGGTGTTTATTCAATCAACTCAAGCTGGATTTTATTACAGTTTCTGTTTATTAGAGGAGAATTATTTGGACTACACATACTTCTGAACCATAAACTGTGTCGGTTTTGGCAGTTGGCACATAGAGGATGTCGCTGTCCAGGTCCGGGCTCCTTGTGGTCCTGTACGGGATCATGGTGGGCAGTTTGTTCGCTACTTTTCCACCTATCAGCAGCACAAAACAGAGCAGACTCGGCGACGGCAGCACCTCCTGGAACAAAAGGGAAGAGGCAGCAGGAGACGGACAGTACTTGTTGGGAATAAGAAGACTCAGAAGGCTTTACTGTAATGTGGGCATCGGCTTCCACATTCAGGTCCTACCGAGTGGGAAGATCACCGGAGTGCACGAGGAAAACATGTACAGTAAGTACTGCTGACATCAGCTCATTGTTGAAGGTGGATAAAAGTTCAGACAGGCCAGGGTCAGCATACAAACATTACAGTAAATGTGTCTAAACTTGTATTAGATGATTTTAATTAAAATATAATTACAAGCAAATGTCAACAATCTGTACAAAAACCAATTAAACATTAATTGTTACATGGTGGCAACGGCCTAATGCCCAAATTTCAGAATCGTTTTGTAAAAACTTAAAACACCAAAAAAACTGTTCAAGAAATTTATAAAGAACCCAGATCAAAAGCAATGTTAAAGCTGCAGCTAGTGGCTCATTATGGTCCCCATGGTTACCACAAGTGTCTCACTCCCTGACTGCCAGGGTAACAAGAAGCAGTCGAAAACAGGCTGAAAAGTAAGCCTCGAACAAGCAAAACTACAAGTCGAATCAAAGTATGAGTGGCAGAAGACTGATGGTCACATGTAACATTTGTTACCCATCACATCAAAACAATGATTAAATAAGTCTGTAGAGAAATAGACAGATTTAGTGTTTAATTAAAACAATTACAATAATAGCATTTTGTCAAAATATAAAGAATGAACTATCTGTCTATATAATTCTGAATAAATTTTGTAGCATTTTTTTAGAAGTCCGTTCGTCCGCTTTCTTCCTCTTATCCAGGGTCAGGTCTCGGGGGCAGCAGTCTAAGCAGAGAGACCCAGACTTCCCTCTCTCCAGCCACTTGGACCAGCTCCTCTGGGGGAATCCCAAGGTGTTCCCAGACCAGCTGAGGAACATAGTCCCTCCAGCGTGTCCTGGGTCTTCCTCTGGGTCTCCTCCCAGTGGGACGTGTCCAGAACACCTCACCAGGGAGGAGTCCAGGAGGCATCCTAACCAGATGAACCACCTCAACTGGCTCCTCTGGACGTGGAGGAGCAGCGACTCTACTCTGAGTCCCTCCTGGATGACTGAGCTTCTCACCCTATCTCTAAGGGAGAGCCCAGACACCCTGCAGAGGAAACTCAATTCAGCCGCTTGTATCCGCGATCTTGTTCTTTCAGTCGCTACCCAAAGTTCGTGACCATAGATGAGGGTAGGAACGTAGACCGACCGGTAAACCAAGAGTTTTGCCTTTTGGCTCAGCTCTCTCTTTACCATGACAGACCGGTACAATGTCCACATCACTGCAGACGCAGCACCAATCCACCTGTCAATCTCCCGCTCCATTCTTCCCTCATTTGTGAACAAGACTCCGAGATACTTAAACTCCTCCACTTGGGGCAGGACCTCCTCCCTGACCCAGAAGCGGCACGCTACCGTTTTCCGTCTCAAGACCATGGTCTCAGATTTGGAGGCACTGATCCTCATCCCGGCCGCTTCACACTCGGCTGTGAACCGCTCCTGTGAGAGCTGGAGATCAGGATCTGATGAAGCCAACAGGACCACATCATCACAAAAAGCAGAGATGTGATCCTAAGGTCACCAAAAAGGATCCCCTCAACACCTTGGCTGTGCCTAGAAATTCTGTCCATAAAAGTTATGAACAGAATTGGTGACAAAGGACAACCTTGGTGGAGTTCAGCTCTCACCGGAAACAAGTCCGACTTACTACCGGCAATGCTGACCAAGCTCTGGCACCGGTCCTACAGGGACCTAACAGCCTGTATCAACGAGCCTGGTACCCCATACTCCTGGAGTCCCCCCCACAGGAGTCCGCGAGGGACACGGTCGAACGCCTTCTCCAAGTCCACAAAACACATGCAGACTGGTTGGTTGAACTCCCATACACCCTCCAGGACCCTGATGAGGGTGTAGAGCTGGTCCGCTGTCCCACAACCAGAACCAAAACCACACTGCTCTTCCTGAATCCGAGATTTCACTATCCAACTGACCTTCCTCTCCAGAACCCCCAAATAGACCTCACCAGGGAGGCTCAGAAGTGTGATCCCCCTGTAGTTGGAACACACTCTGTGGTCCCCCTTTTTAAATAGGGGGACCACCACCCCAGTCTGCCAATCCAGGGGAACTGCCCCTGATGTCCACACGACATTGCAGAGTCATGTCAAGCAACACAACCCCACAACATCCAGAGCCTTAAGAAACTCTGGGCGAATCTCATCCACCCCCGGCGCCTGAGATTGGAGAATCTGACCCAGGGTCCTCAGGCTTTGCTTCCTCATGGGAAGACATGTCAGTAGGATTGAGGACGTCCTCAAAGTATTCCGCCCACCGACCCACAACATCCCGAGTTGAGGTCAGCAGTGCATGATTTCCCACCATAAACAGTGGTGGTGGCGAACCGCTTTCCCCCACTGAGATTTCGAATGGTGGACCAGAATCGCCTCGAAGCCGTACGGAAATCTTTTTCCATGGCCTCTCCGAACTCCTCCCACGCCCGAGTTTTTGCCTCAGCTACCATCTGAGCCGAACCCGCTTGGACTGCTCATACCTATCAGCTGCTTCCAGAGTCCTACAGACCAAAAAGACCAGATAGGACTCCTTCTTCAGCCTGACAGCATCCCTCACCGCCGGTGTCCACCAGCGGGTTCGAGGGTTGCCGCCACAACAGGCACCAACAACCTTACGGCCACAGCTCAGGTAAGCCGCCTCGACAATAGTGGCACGGAAAATGGCCCACTCGGATTCAATGTCCCCCACCTCCCCCGGAAGGTGTTCGAAGTTCCCCCGGAGGAGTGAGTTGAGTTTTTTAGCAGTAGCAGAACAATAAAAAAAGTCAAGTTTTGAGATTTTCCCTGAGAGCTGGCATAGCTTTTGTTTCTTTCTAGTTCGGACATCTCAATATTCAAATACAATTTGATGTTTCTTCTTTAAAATGACATAAAAAATGCTTCACTGAAATTACATAAAAACAGGATTCAGACCAAATATTAATGTTACTGTGATCAACAAGACAAATTGAGTTATATCTCTGGAACTGCTCGTGATATCAGGATGATCCAAATCTTGATTGGGTCATTTTGACCAAATTTGGGCCACATTTAGGTTTTCTACCGTAGATGGGACCAGTTCAACATCTGGGTTAAAGAAGATAAATAAAATTTGATGTTTAAATTTTATTGGTACCAAAAAGAGGTGAACAGTTTGAAAGATGTGAAAAGTTTAGACAATTCAAGACTTAGAGAGACATCATCAACTTAACATCCTGTGGAGAAATTTGTAAAAACCTCAAACCTGAACTATCAAGTTAAATTGTTTTACAAGCTAACACACAGGCAGTACACAGGGTACTGATGAGAGCATGTACAGGGTAATTACATGCTTTATAAAGCAGGGACTTGAGGGTTGTACTTTCAGAGTACTGGAGTACAATCAGGGTACTGATAATGTAACTTACAAGGTATTTACAGGAAACCAAAAATGAACAGAAGTATAAATAAACCAGAACTGATGAACCGAACAAGAAACACCTGAGGTGATGACAGGTGAGAGTGGGCGTGGCATGAATACAGTTCAAAACTGAACTGATGACACAGAACAATCAGGTAAACAACAACATGTGCAACAGAAACATCAAGATCACAAAATACAGGAATCAAAAACATAATGACCAAATATATGTTCAGAATATAATGATTTGCAAATCTCATAAACCTGTTTGTTCACATATGAACATTGTAAACATTTCAAAGGGCAAAACAATTAATACATTTTTAATTTGATGGTAGCAACTCAGCTCTTCCTTCACCCTGACCCACCAAAGCAACACCCTCATTACTGAGGTCAAAACCCCAGTTTGTCGATCCATCTCCCACTCCATCCTACCATCAAGACTCTCACTCCTCCACCTGTTTCTAGCTGAGGACCACGGTCTCAGATTTAGAGAAACAGACTCCCATTCAACAATTTTACACACACAAAATATGAAGCAATAAAAAAATAAAACATTGAGGATAATTTACATAATTCAGTATTTTATATTAACATGTACCCACCCATTAAAAAGATATAACGTGAACTGGGCTGACTCCATAGCTCCACCTTTACATCTTAACTGCAAAAGCTCATTTTTAAATTAACTAAACCTGACTATAAAATCCATTTGTGTCCACTGTTAGTTTGCTTGTGGTATTTAAAGCTTTTATAAATATATTTTTCTGTTTTTATTCCAGGTCTTATAGAAATTTCTCCAGTGGAGAGAGGAGTGGTGACTCTGTCCGGAGTGAGGAGTGGTCTCTTTGTTGCCATGAGTGAAAAAGGGAAACTCTACGGTTCGGTAAGAACTGGAGGTTGTGCAATAAAAGAGCTTTAAAGCTCAACTAGCTGTGGACCTGAATGTCAGAACCATGAACCGCTGCAGAGTAGGTGATGAGTTCAGCCTCTGACATCAACTTAGCTTAAAGAGACAATCTCAAATGGAATATATTTTCACAACAAGTACCATTTTCCTAGCTACAAAGGTATCTAGTGAACACGCCAAACAAACTTACAGACAACTCCTGTTCATGGCAACAATATGGACAAATGATCCACAGCAAGAAGAAATGGATTTGCAAACTGCAGCTGTCTGCTTCATTCAATTCAGAGGGAAATTACCCAAATGAATATATTCTGGTGCAGTATTGTACTAAATGCTACAATTTAGCTTCTCTCATACTGAGTACAGAATTCTGTGGGACACCAAGTGTAAAACAAAATATTAAAAAAATACCAACACGTTTTCATTATTTAGCTCACTTTCTGAGAGTAAAATCCTAGTTAAAAACAATTCTGCCAACATTTTAATGTTATTTAGCTCACTTCTCTTACATTTTATAAGTTTTTATAAAATCTTAAATTTAGATGTTAAATCCTTTATCTAAATCAAAAAGTTTAATCTTAAATGTTGTGCCTAAATGAGTGAAACGCAGCCTTTGCCTTTGGTTCGCATCTTTTGATGTGACGTCATCATCCTGCAACAAAACAACCCTGCTAACCCTGCTAACACTGCTAACACTGCTAACCCTGCTAAAGATGCTAACACTTCCTTGAAAGACATTAAGTTGAAGTTACAGCCGGTGTCCGAGCTGCACTTCAAACTTTCAGACCGCAGGTACTATCTATATTGTTTTAATTGAATACAATCTGAAATGAAATTGTAAAATCTTTAGCAGCGTTAGCAGTGTTAGCAGTGTTAGCAGAGTTAGCGGTTACTTTTGTCGCTGGGCGATGACATCACAACAAAAGCCAAAAACCAACAACAAAAGCAGCGTTCCATTCTGAGATTCTTTAATGAAAATTTGAACATTTTTAGCCATAACATTTAAGATTTAACTTTTACTTTCAGACAAACACATTTAGATGTAGGATTTAACATTTACAAATTTTATTCAACATTTTTATTCAACATGAAAATATATGACAAACATATGATACTGTATACATATGATATTGATAACATAAAAATTAGCAAAATGTAAAAGAACAGTGAGAAAAGTAGCAATTAAATGTTAGCTTCATTTTTTCAGGGTTCCTACAGATCCTTAAAAAGTCTTAAAAGTCATTGAATTCATCAATCCAAAAATAAGGCCTTAATTAGCCTTAAAATGTCTTAAATCAATCTGTCAGAAGTCTTAAAAATGTTAACACATTGTAAATAGGATGATTGTAATTCATCTCAAATATTAAAATAATTGGTAACATTTTTTAAACGTTCACATGCAGACATTCCTCTGACATCACTTCCTGTTGCTTCAAATGCAAACATCTCAACAACTGTCTGTCTGAGCATCGTGAAATTCCTTTCATAACATGTTAATAATGTTGTCTTTCCAAAAAAGTATTCACATTTCTTACAAAAAGTCGATGTCACATGCACTTTAAGGTTTCACCTACAGCAAGTTAGGGTTAAGACCCCGCTGTGGGTCCTAAAACTCCAAATTTTGGGTCGTTAGAGGATTTCCAGGAGCTAAATTAAGTTTAAAACTGACTGCTAAGAATGCTTTTGCTATATTTGACAAAAAAGCAGTTTGATATGATTAAAAACTATTGGTTTATTAGGAATATTTGAATACTTCAACCAAAAATACTTTGATTCATGAGTTTTTGCCAGTTTTTATTTTTTTGTCCGTTGTGTTTATTATGAAATTGATCTTAAATTCAATTTCACTTGGCATTAAAAAGTCTTAACAAGTCTTAAATTTAACTTGCCTTAAACTGTAGGAACCCTGTTTTTTTTAAACATTTTATTTTAGTTGTTCCACTGAAACGTAGAATTAAAGTAAAACAACAGTATCATTTGACAACTACTGTACAGCAGGTAAAAGTAATCTCTCTGTCAGTGGCCTTAAATGACTGACCAGTCCACTTTTTGTGGTTTTTACTGCCATATGTACTGTTGTCAGTGTCAAGACGTTTGTTGAGGTCACAGTGTGACCTCAACTGACCCTTGGTGGGAGACCAGGGTCCACAAGTCCTCCTTCTGCCCTGAACAGGTAGAGAGGCCATAATTAATAAATAAACTTGACAATCTGGTCAAATTAAACAGCGTTTCTCATCTAAATTCCAAAGTAATCTCTTTATCAAATAGTTTTTATTTTGTTTTAGATTGTTACATGATGACCAAGTCATAACTCTTCCATTTATTTCCAAATTAATTTCATTTTGTGTTTTCTGTTTGTATTTAAAATTCTATTAATTTTATTCGTCTTTGTAATAAAACTTAAGATAAATTGTGTTTCCTTCTCACTGAGTGAATATTTAGTGATTAAAGTAAAGAGTTCCCTGTAATCATATGAGTTCACACTTCAGTGGTTATGAGTCTGAGGGGCGGGGCCACGGGGCCATTGGCCCCTGCTGAAATCTGATTGGCCCCCTGAAGTACACCTGTCCTGTCATCTGTTCTTCGCCCGAGAGCGATGACGGTGGGTGCAGTTCCATGTCCAAACACTAGTGGCTGTAATGAGTCGAATAAAAAAGTCCTACATGAATCAAAAAGAAAAAAATAGTATAGGTCCTCTGGACGGGTTCTTCTCTAATGAAACGTTTCGTCTCTCCTCCAAGAGACTTCTTCAGTCTGAGAGTTTCAGGCTAAATTCAGGCTTTTAAGCCCTGCCTCCATGTGACTGATACTCACATCACATGGCTATCGTTGACACCTAATTAACACTTATTGTTAACAGGGGGTGGAGTGATACTGGCAATGGCAGCACTGTAGGAGGGGGACAACTGAAAACGGAGGCCTCCACCTCTGTTTAATGATGGACGGTCTTTCTTCACAAAGATGTCTTCTTTTACTCCTCTCTCAAACCAACGTTCCTCTCTATCAAGAATGAGAACATCCTCATCTCTGAAAGAGTGACCGCTGGCCTGTAAATGAGTGAAAACTGCAGAGTTCTGGCCATTAGATGTAGCTCGTCTGTGTTGGGACATTCTTTTGAACAGTGGTTGCTTTGTACATCGGGGAAACAAACCACTGAACTATTGTGATTAAATATTATTAAACTATGGTTCAGTACTGAGTATATACAGCAGGGGGCAGTATTGGACCAATACAAGGTTCCATTGACACTTATTATAAATTATTATTAAACATTATTTTTCAAAAACTATACGTTGTACAGGCACCAAAAGGCATAGCCATCATTTGGCACAGGAGCTTTACAGATATAAATTACAATGGCAGCTCTAGGACAAAGTATGCAGGAGGAGAAGCGTGACAAAGAGGAGATGACTTGGATGGGAAACGAATCACAATAGTGTGCATTGCATTGGCAATGCACACTGATAAACTTTATTTATATAGCATCTTCCAACAATGCCTTGCATCGACCAAAGTGCATCACAAGGTAAAACAAATACAATCAAGCCATAAAAATCAGTACACGTTAAAAACACAAATTACAGTAAGAGAAAGTAAAAAGATATATAAAATGCTAAAAATTAAACACCAAATGCCCTTTTGAAAAAGTAGATCTTAAGTTGTGCTTTGAACAGGACCAGGGCAGAGATGGCACGCAGCTCATAGGGAAGACTATTCCACGTTATTGGGCCAGCAACAGAGAAGGACAAGTCCCCCCATTTCTTGCTGTTAGAGCGAGGCACCTCGAGCAGATGTTGACTGGCAGATCGCAAAGCTCTGCTGGGTTGGTGGACTTTCAAGAGATCAGAGATGTAAGGTGGTGCAAGGCCATTTAAGGCTTTAAAAACAAATAACAACAGCTTGAATTCTGAACTGAACCGTGAGCCAATGTAGAGAAGAAAGGACAGGAGTGATGTGTTCATATTTACGTGTAGTTAAGAAGCGAGCAGCAGAGTTTTGAACGAGCTGTAAGCGAGAGATGGAAGACTGATTAATTCCAACATATAAGGCGTTGCAATAATCGAGCCTGGAGCTCACAAAGGCATGGATGGCCTTCTCCAGATCACTACGGCTGAGCCGTGTCTTCACCTCAGAGAGCAGACGAGCTGAAAGAAGCTTGTTTTCACCACAGAATCGATTTGTTTATCAAGCTTCAAGTTGCAGTCAAGTTTCACGCCTAGATTTTTTACCACCTGGTTGAAGTGAGAGAGTGGAAGACCTAGACTGTGAGAGATGTGAGGGATGTTTTTAACAATTATCATTTTCGTGAACATGTACATTGATCTGGCAATTTTAACATCATCTGCCTGATCATTCCACAATCTGACTCCTTGGATGGAGCTGCACCGTTCTTTCAAACAGGTTCTAAATTTAGGTTTCATGAGCATCTCTGTCCTCTTAGAACAGCTCTCCTTTTGCAAAGTTTTTCTGGATGTTTAAAGGTCGTGTTTTGGTGAGTCTTATACATAACTAAATGATAAAATTTTAATAATTTCAGTTTACAAAATTATATATCAGATGGATATTGGTGATGTTTTCGAGTGATAACTCTTATAGCTCTTTTCTGCAAAACAAAAACAGGATGTGCAATAGTCTTACATGCTTTACCTCGTACCTCCCCATGTGTCCCCATGTGTCCCCCCATAGTAAACTCATATGGCCTGCCTGGGGCACACTGACAGAGGCGAGGCTCTGACCACCACCAGTAGGCAAGGCATGTGAAGTGTCTTGCACAAAGACTGAGACAGCTGGAACGGGGGATCAAACCAGCAACCCACCAGTTATAGGACGACTCCCCTAACCACTCTGCCACAGCTGCCTCAAGTCAGGAAATCAAACCTAACTATAGGATTTATCAAAAAGGAAAGTCTTCAGTCTAGACAGAGTGTCAGCCTCACGGACAGAAACTGGAAGTTGGTTCCATGAGAGAGGAGCTTGATAACTCATGAAGAGCACATTTTAAGTGAATTTTATTGGTCCATTAAATGTTTGACTTTGAGGAGACCTAGCTGGATGTGTTCAGGTTCATGTGTTCTCAGAGGAATCAGTTCTGTCTCCTTCTGCTTCTCCTCCTCAGGGAAACTACAACGATGAATGCAAGTTCAAGGAGAGTCTCCTGGCCAACAACTACAACGCTTACGAGTCTGCCGCCCACCCGGGCATGTTCATCGCTCTCAGCAAAACTGGAAAAACCAAAAGAGGCAACCGAGTCTCACCTGCAATGAGCGTGACGCACTTCCTGCCCCGCATGTGACCCTCACGACCTCATCAGCTGTGGGGTCGGAGACAAACTGATTAGCTCTGCTCTGTCTGGTGAAAAACCAGCACAATCTGACCTGGTTTACTTCATTATAAACTAATTATGGACAAAACTGCAGTTTTAACATGTAGCATTGTTTTTGTACCATCCCTGTTTAAAATATGTTTAAATAAATTTAATTAAATTACTGACTATACTTTAATGCACCCACAAAAAAAGTAAAAACTACACGGTTGTTGGATGATGAGAATTGTTCTGTACATTTTCAAGTTTTAGTAATAAAGTCATATTTATATAAGAAAACCTTTTTCTCTTTTATTCTTTTTGTAAACGTGTTGTAACACTTTTTTTTTAATTAGAATCAAAATGAAGAACAATGTAAAATAGAGGACAGTAAAACATTTGCCAGGGGGTTAGGTTACAAGCTTTGAGACAATTTTAAAATAACATTACACAAAGAYTTGAAAAAGATCACATAAGGCACAGGTTTTAGTAGCTTTCGTATTTATAGAGTGTCTAATAGTTGTAATATATTGTTTGACTTCGTTTAAGAAAATAGAAAGAAGAGGTTTTTGATTAGTGTAGCCGCATTTGTGAATATGCCATTTGGCTAAATATATAATAAGATTGATAATATAAAACTGTTTTTCTTTGGTAAGTGGATGGTCAGTGAAGCCAAACAATATATGTTCAAAACAAAGAGAAAAATGTGTCTCAACAGAGGTAGAGATCAGAACACATTTATCTTCACACAACTGAGTGGAAAGACCAAAACAAGTGATGATCATCCTCAGGGTGGCCTTCACACAAACAGCACATTACATTTATATCTTTTTTAAAGCGTTGCAAAAATATTTTAGATGAGTAAATTCTATGAATAATTTTAAAGGATACTTCTCTTACTTTATTATTGATCATATATTTAGTTGGTAAAGTCCAAATTCTTTTCCAGTTAAGGTTATCAGTAAATATGATACTACATATGGAGCAGATACAACATCTTTCTGAAATAATGAGCGTATACGACGGTTGTTATTACGTACAGAAGAAAAACTAATTTGGCCAATTTCAAGTTTGTTTGGATCAAAAGGTAATAAATTCAGATTATGTCCTATATTTTTGAATAACATAAATACACCAGCAGGAATTGCAGCTGTAACAATATTAAACTCATTAATGGGAATGTTGATTTTGTATTTTGAGATAAATTCTTGAAATGACATTAATGACCCATCTACGTTAAAAAGCTGATGAACCAGGACTATGTTGTGAGTAAACCAATTTGGGTAAAATAAGGATTTGTTTTTATATAATATGTCTTTATTGTTCCAAGGACAAACATTATCTTTATATTCACACATACATCATTTCTGTTGTTGCATTAAGTAAACAGGGTTCACTGCTTCACTGTTGTTGATGATGTCATGGTTTCTTCATTTATCTTGGTGAGATGGAGTTAGCTTAGCTATAGATCATTACTAAATTATAACA